TGTGCGCGCGTGCCCGGGCGGCTGCAAAGAGAGTGCACTGTGCAATACACACAGCATCAGCACTGGTCGGCTGGGCGTTGCAAAAGAAAAGCCCATGCAGATGCAGCCGAGGAATAGTGGGATTCAAACGGACGCACGTTCAAGACAGGTTTGGGGGAAACCGCGGCTTCTGCCACTCACGGCAGCTGGCAGCCTGCGATGGCCACCATCTCGCGCAGCTTGCGCCGCAGCCCTTCCGAAGTGAGCTCGCAGCGCGACCCCACCAGCAGCTGCATGACCCGTGATGGGCACCACCCCAGCGGAACGGGCGGTGGGCGGCCCGCGCTTGGGCAGGCCGCAGCCTGCGGCGACGCGCAGGCCGCGTGGTCGCTGCTGCCAAGGGAGGCCGCGTCGGCCTCTGACGCTGCGGAATCGTCCTCCTCATCCTCATCAATGGTGAAACCCAGTGCGTTTTGCGTCACGAAGCGCAGTGCATCAGTGTGCGCGCACACGCAGCGCACTGCATACTCCCTCGACGACAGCTGCGTGTGTTTCGCAGCAAGCACCTCGACAGCGGCGGCGCGCTCGTCGATGACCTTCTGCAGCTGGCTCACAAGCAAAGCGTGCCTTTCAGCCCTTCTGACTGTTGTTTTTGCCATTTATTGTCCCTGTAGTCGGGTCTTCCCAGTCGTGCCCTCCTGATGTACTCGTAACCCGCTGCTGCCGCGGCCTGCCTGATGCAAGGTGCGCCAAGACAGCCACCTTGAATAATCAGAGACCTTGATATCAGTTCGATTGCAGCTGGATGTCACGTTGCAACCCTTTCCCTGGACAGATCTACGTTCCACGGCCGATGAATCACTTTTGCTGGGCGTCACAATACGGTAGTGCCACCACTGGGCGATATGTTCGGCAACCCTTGCGAACAACGACAGATAGGCCTTGTTTGGCAGGCTGGCAGGCCAAACACCCAAATCGGGAGTGACAACTGTGAAGTCGCAGTCCTGTGCTTAGTCAACCCCATGGGCGCAGTCAACGCGTTCCACACCAGCTCTCGCGCTGTACACAATGTGTTAGCTGATGAGCACCAGTGCTATATTACTATGAGACCAGGTTGGTGGATAGGTGACTGATGCATGTACAGGCAGCGACGGCACCTTGTGCGCCAGCCTCAGGCTGCCATTGCCATTCCGTTTGCAGGCATCAGCAACGATGCTCATCTCATGACAGCTGCAAGGCTTCACAACCAGCCCCTTCCCCTCCAACACAGCCACATGTACACACCGGCAGCTTGGCCCCGGCGGGCGCCGCCCGCCCGCCCAAGGAGTCTAGGCACCCAGGTTACTCTGCTGCGGCGACGATCTCGTCCCTCGCAAGGGAGAAGGCCGCCACCAGGCTGCCCAGCTGCAGCCTCTCACTGGTGCCGTACGCCAGGCGGTACTCGATGTCTGCCAGCTTCTCGCACAGCGCGACGCGCACGTGCGGCGGGCCCAGCGCTTGGATGTTGAACAGCCACCTTCGGGCGGTTGGCGGGTGCGTTCGGCGCGTGGTGCAAGTGAGAGCGTGCTCGTGTTTTGTGGGGAGCGGCACCAGAGGGCGGGGTGGCTCGGGTGAGTGCATGGTAACAATCAGCAAACAAGTGCAATCAGGGCGGCAGCCTGTGGAGCTCCGCAGCTGTGCAAGAGGGGCTCCCAGCAACGCTTTCCAAGAGGATCCATGCGGAGGCCGCCAGGCTAACGGCCGCACGCGTACAGGGGCACGGCGCGATTACAGGGTGTGAGCCAAGCGGTTTCGGGCCGCCGCGGCTGTGGAGCCCCCCTCCGCCATGCCCCCCCCCTGCCGCAAGGTCTCACGGGTGCAGCTCCCGCACGATGTCCACGAGAGCGATGCCCTTGTCCACCTGCAGCTGCAGGATGCCTGTGCACAGCAGAAGGGACGGGCGGGTGCCGCAGGTCAGCAACGCGGCAATCGCCGCAGCATGCGCCCTGCCGGCAGAGTGTTTGCGCACCGTCACAAGCCGCCGGCCCCAAAAGCTCCCGCCCACCCCCTGCCTTGCCCTCCTGGTCCAATCACCATCCCACACTTCCTTCCCGCACCCTGTCCTGTATGCAAG